GTTTGGGGAGGAGGATGGGAAGCAGGGGTCCTCCTGGAGGCCCGGGCTCCGCGCCGCGGCGCGGGGAGCGGCGGGCACAGCCCCGAGCAGAGCCGAGGGCGCAGACGGGGACCGCGGCCCGGGGCTGAGGGGCCGAGGGCGCAGTTCGGGCCTCACTGCAGTGGGGTCGGGATTGGAGGCGCAGGCTGGCAGGCCCCCGCGGGGAAGGGAGACCCCACTCCGCAGGGCGCTCGCCAGTGGGGTCCAGCCCTTGGCGCTGGCGGATCCGGGAGCGTGGGGAAACTCGTCAAGAGGGACGGGAACTCGCATAGCTCACGCACACTAACACTTCCACGCGTTCGAGCGCGCGCGCGCACGCCTGCCCATCCTAGCGACTCAGGGAGCAGCACCCTGCTGTGGCCGCGGGCTGGGCGCCAGGGCCTGGGCTCACCTGACGCCGGGCAGCCTGTGCGGCCTTGGGAGCCCAAGGCGAGCGCAAACCACACGCACAGAGCAGCTGGCCCAGGCCCAGCCCCAGAGGCACAGGCCCTCCGCGGCTTCCCCGCCCAGGGTTCCGCGCCCCTACCCATCCGGCCGTGCGCCTCCCCGGCTCACACCGACCAGGCAGGCCTTCAGTGCTGGCGAAAGACTGGGCCCGGGAGCTCTGCCACACCGGTCCGGGAGCCTGACCTTCCCCCAAAGCCACTAAGGGCGAGAGAGGCAGCTTGGGTCTCCCCCTTCTAAACTGTTCAAATAGGCAATCAATTTTTATGATGTAATTTATAATTTATGCAGGTTGTCTTCATACATATGGTGTTGCTTTTGTGTGTCGGGGTTTCAGGTGCTTTATTACTCTGATGGTGTGATTTGCATTCACGTTCGGTTACCAAGATCATATTTCTCCTGTTTACACCATAAGGGCCTGAAATGAAGATTAATGCTGCCTCCCTTTGTCCAGGGCAGCCCAGTAAACCTGGGCTGGGGATCCCTCCCCAATCCCAAAACCTGGCTGCCCCACAACCTGCTAGAGTGTCTGAAGGAAGGAGCCCTGGGGCACCAGAGGTCCGTGCAGGACACCTGCTCCGGCTGTGTATGCCTGGGCAGAAGTCCAGGGTCTCAGGTACAGAAAGGGGCGCCGGTGCAGGCAGCCTCCTCTTCCCAAAAGCCACAGCTGAAGGGAGCTGGCCATTCGGCCACATGGTAGCCTAAGTCCAGCAGTAAAAGGAGAGGGCACGGAGGCCAGGTTGGCTGCCAGGGCTTCCACATGGTACCCTACAGCCAGTCAGGACAGCCACAGGGAGCACCGAGATGCAAACCAGGCCATCACCTGGTACAGTGCCAGGCAGCCAGCAGGTCCCCAGGCCAAGGAGCAGGAGGACATCACACAGCTTTGCACCAACCGGGGCACCAGGCCGGGGCTGAAGGGAGCTTCCAGGCTTGCCAGACGCAGCTGAAATGAACAAGCCAGTTAAGCTGGAACAGGCAGAAACAAGAGGGAGCAAGTGCTGACCCCACAGAAGGGAAGCTGGGAAGGTCGGATGTGCAGACAGCCACCAAATCAGGATGGTCCTTCGGGGCAAATTCCAGCTGGGCCCCCACCTCACCCCCATTTAACTAGAAGAGGCCGGCAGGGTGTGCAAGCCTACACAGTCTTGAGAATTCCAACACGGGGTGGGGTTGGAGAAGGCCCCAGGCCTGGGGGCCTAGGCACCTCCCCTGGAGGGGATGCACAGCCTCAGCGAGGAACTGTGGGAGCAGCCTGCTTGAGGCTCGGGACTGACACCTGACTACTACGGGGGTTCAGAGCATGCTTGGTTTCCCAAAGGGGTGGGGGCACCCGGTTCCCCTCCCAAGGGAACAAGGACAGGGTCACACAGGGTCGGATGGCTCTTCTTGTGTCCCCCCACTTGTGCCTAGGTGAGTGAATCTGCGGTGCAGGCAGATTCCCCCAGGCCTCCCATTTCGTGGCTGGGGGCTCAGGTCCGAGGTGCTGAGCGTAATTATTTGATCTGCAGATGTAAGTGGAATTTATTGTAACAACAAATATAGTGATGTCAAAACCCAACCTTGGATTAAAGCCGGCAGCCAAAGGGGAAGTGTATTAATTTCCAACAGCATCTCAGGCCAGAGCCTATTAGAACAAGCTATTCTTCAGGCCCCCCCATCAGAATTAATCATTGGGAGTTAATTTGAAGCTCAGACAAGTTGCTGTTAATTTAGTGCAGGGAGGACGGGATGGAATAAAAAGCTGAGGTGCTGGCCGAGCCTCGTGGGTCTCATTAATCAGCCAGCTGAGACGGCCTGGCTTGATTACAATTTGCAAAAAAATTCATTAGGGCCTGGGCGATTGACAATTTTTCTCTCTGCCTGTGATGTGACTCATTAGGCAGCCAAATGAAAGCCATGATGACGGCCATGATGACAGAGGCCATCAAGCGCTGCTTGTTTATCTTCCTCCCCTCGGCCTGTCTCCAGGGCCTTGGACTCTGCGCTGGGCCCTGGGGGCGCCATCATGCTCAGGGGCTGGGGAGCCCCTGCGCAGAGTCCCCAGAAAGGCAGGATGGCTCGCGGTGTCTCCCTGACCCTCTGCTCCTGGGTTTCCAAAGGGCCGGGGCTGGCGGCGCTGGGAGCTGGGACCCGGCATGAGGCTTCCTGAAGGTGGCCTTGTACGCCTAGGCAGCTTCACTTTCCCTCGGGGCGTGTGCAGCTCGGGCTTCCAGTCACCTGTGCCACCCATCCCTGTCCTGGGTTTTGGGAGAAGGCTGGCACCTGTTATAGTGGGAGCACACATGGGGGTCACTCTAGGATCCCAGGGAGTGCTGTGCTCTCCGGCGGACTCCAGTGCCACCAGAGCAGGAGGCCACACGTGCCCCTTGTCTCCAGGCTGGAGCCTGCGCCAATAGCCATAGTGCCAGGGGGTGTATCTGCAGCCCAAGGACAGACTGGTCCAGATGGGAAGAGTACGCAGCGAGGAGGGAACGGCATCCCCGCAGGTCTTCTGGACGGCCGCGGGACCAGGGGTGACCTGCCCTGCTCAGAGCGGAAAGCGTCCACCGGTGACCAGGGCTGTTCGTCCACGCACCGGCGGTGCCTGTAGGGAGCAGCGAGGCCTTGCGGCCCAAGCTTCCGGGCGCGGGATGGGGACGGCAAGGAGCCGCCGCAGCTCCCCGCAGAACCGGCTCGAAGAACAGGCTGAAGCCGTGGGACAACAGGCTGCTCCATTTTATTGTGTTTAAAAAAAGAAAAAACAACAAACAGAAAAACCAAGGCCGGCCATTCTCCGCCACCGGAAATGTGCCGAAGGCGGCGGATATTGGTGACTCGGGAGCTCCGGGTCTTCACCCTGCCCCTGAAGTTAAGAGCGCGGAGGCCTCGGTCCCCAGGCCTGTCTGCGGCGGGGAGGTGCCGGGCTATGAGCGGTGTGAATCCCGTCAATATTGGCGCTGACCACGGCAACGCCTCCCTCTTCCTTGGGCGGAGACCCGCGGCGAGTGCCCCGCGGGTGCTTTGCAGCCAGCTCCCAGGCCTCCTTCGTCTGCTTGCCAAGCTCAGCTGGCGACACCGCCGGCTTCTTGCCCTTGAGGCTCCTGGCTGGGTGGCCGGGAGGGCTCTGGCACCCGGGTTACGGTCCCTCGCGCGCTCCACGTTTCCTGGACACCCAGGCCTCCGGCGCGCCTGGGAGGTCGCATCCTGCGGGGTGCTCTGGAACCAGCCGGACTCGGGGCGCAGTGTGGGGTGGGATGAGCTCAGGAGTCCGGGTACGCCCCCCCTGCGCCCCAGTCCCGGCATTTGCACCCCTAGCTGGCGGGCGCACCGTCCCCCTTTCTCTGGAGCCTGGCCTCCCGGGCGCCCTCGGGGTGGGGCGGTGGTCGGGGCCCGCCCCCTCGACCCCGCCTCCCGGCAGAGGGCTGCCGGGAAGCCGGCTTGGCTCGCTGGGTTCCTGAGCCTGTCGGAAGATAACGCCCCAGCCTGATTTATGGATCCTTGACCCAGCCGGCGGGGAAAGGGCCCAGCTGCTTTTCGGGTCGGTGCTGTGGATAAGGAAAGGCACCTCTTCCCTGGCTGAAGTCGACTTAGCGCCCTGAAGTTTATGCAAAGCCCACCATCGCCCACGCTCACTTTCCCTGCCCGGGACCCCTCTCCTCCTTTGGCCTAAGTTTGCCAGCCCCCTAGCTGTGCAAAAAGGGGCCATGTTGGAGCCCCAAGATGATAAGTACGTTTTCTTAAACCCGTACCCTATTGGCGCTCTTGCCTTCCAATTCAAAACCTGCCAAGGTGCTTCGTGGCTCCTGTCCCGAGGTCAGCTGGTCGGCAGGTGTGGAGAGGTGGCCCAGACCAGTCAAAGTCCGGACGCACCCAGGAGGCCCACCCAAGCACTGATCTTTGTTTCGTTTTTTCCGCTCCTTTTTATTATTCACAAGACTGAGATTGTTTAAATGCCATAACTTATAAGAAAATAAGCTACATTGAAATAAATTAAACACAGTGGAGACATGCCTCAGGATGGACAAGCCCAGGAAACAAAGCCAGGCAAAAGCAACGCAAAGTAAATTTCCAGGCTGCCCAACCACGGCTGCTCTGCAGTCAACTCAAAAAGCCAAAAACAGAAGCAAAAGTTAAGTTTAAACCGCAGTGTTTGTTCTTGTGTTTCATGTTTACCTTTGGGGAAGTATGGAAAGGTGAGTGCTAAGGACAGCAGAGGACAGCGGAGGTTTTGCTTTCTTCTGGAATGTAAGTGGAGGCTCTTACTAGGTAACTTGGTCCTACAACTTTCAAAATACTGCAGCTGAGATCCAGTGTATATAGATTATCTATGTACAAAGTAGGATAGTATAATAAATATTTAGTGTATCTTCAGGTGTGGCTGTAGCCCCATCAAAAGCAGTCTTTTAGCCTGTTTCGTGAATATATTCTCAACTCGCTCGGGAAGTCCACCTCGGGAATATGACTTTGAGTTCTACTTCAAACCACATAGTCCACCATGTGTTCCCTGGGGTTGGAGCTTCTCTGCGGTGGGTGCCAGGCCTGGCCTGCCCTCGCCGGGCCCTCAGGGCCGGGCCTGTTCCAGCTGCTGATGCTGACTTCTAATTGCAAACCTGCTGACGTGGACAGGGATGGGGACCACGATCTTGGGGTTCCTGGAGGGCTCCCCTGTCTTGGAGTTGGCATTGCCGGCCTTCACGCGTTTCCACTTGGCCCGGCGGTTCTGGAACCAGATTTTCACCTGCACCTCGCTGAGTTTGAGGGCATGGGCGATCTGTGAGCGCTCGGTCAGGGAGAGGTACTTCTTGCAGTGGAACTCCTTCTCGAGCTCTAGCAGCTGTTCGCTGGTAAAGGCAGTCCGCCGCCGCCGGTTCTTACCCGTGGATGTGGTGCTGCCCGCGGCGCCGCCGTTCGGCGGGGTCTCCTCCAGTGTGTGGCTGGGGTCTTCCTCCTTGTGAGCCGCCTGGCCCGTCAGATTGTCATCCGAGCTGTAGTCCACATCGCTCTCCAGCGAGAAGCTTTCCTCTTTGCCCTTCGGGTCATCTTCCACCTTTGACTCGTCTTTCCCTTGCCCTCGGACAGCCCCGACTGAAAGCAAAAACCAAACGGCGTTTTATTACCTTTTGCACGCTGGCCTTCCCGTCCCCTCCCCACCGTCGTCACGGGGCACCCCCACCCCCACTTGGTGGATTGTCTTTCTATGACATTAACACATTGTGATTTCCTGGCCTTTGAGGCGAGAGGAGGAGGGGGGAGCGTGAGAAAGCTCACAGGAGAGGAGACAGCACAGGCGACAGCTCTTTGCCCAGAACCATCACTCAAGGGGCCGCAAGGCCTCCTGCGCCCTCAGCCCCGGGCGGCTGAAGAAGTAGCAGGACGTGGAGACTCCAGAGAACGTCGCCTTTGTCCCCGGAGGTCGGGCTGGGTGAGGACTGAGGGGTAGTTCCTGATCTCTCCTGCCCCCCATCCCTTGCACAGCGAAAATTTAGGGAACCTCAGTTTCACTGCAGCCAGAGTGGGCGCGCAGGGACGTGCAGATGCCAGGTTGTATCTTTTTGGAGACGGATAATGTTGGCCACAGGGATGTTTGGTAGCCTTAGAAGTTCCCACCAGATAGCTCCACACACACACACACACACACACACACACACACACAGAGGCAGACGCACAGCATCTCAGGAACCCAGTTCTCCCGCGCAAGCAGCAAGCTCTGAGAGGGGTTTCCTAAGTGTGGGCGCCACTGGGCACAAATACAGCTGAGACGCACAGCCCAACTGAACACCCCTTGAGGCTGATGTCGACCCGGGACGCCAGTTCCCGACCAGGGCGGGTGGATTCGGCCGAACGCGCCACATCAACAGCTGGCTGGGGGAGGGGGCCTAAACGTCCCCCTCCCGGCCCCACTGTTGCGCGGCGTTAAATGCATCCCGGGGCTCCCCGGCCGAGCTAGAGCGGGCGCGCGGTCTCGCCCCCAGGGTCCCCGCGGGATCCCGGAGCAGGCCCGCCCCCGCGTCCCGGCCGCGCGCGCCGCCGACTCACCCAGCGACGCCTGCACTGCCTCGGCCGCCGAGAAGGAGAGTAGCGAGCCCTCCTTGGCCAGGAAGCCCTTGCCGTCCTCTGCGTCGGCTTGCAGCGCCTCCGCCTTGTCGAAGTTGCCGCCGCCCGGCAGCGGCTGCGGCGCAAACTTGCGGGCGGCCGCCGCCTCCTGGTGCTGGGGCGACGCCGAGAAACCGCCGGGCAGCGTGGCCATGAGCGTGGAGGTGAGCGCCATGCCCTGCGCCAGGCCCGAGCAGAAGCCGGTGGGCAGGCTGGGGATCTGGTGGTG